GGGGGGGGTATTTTGTATCAGTATCCATAATTTTCTTATCTTTGTAAAGTAAATTATCCATAAATTTTATTTCAGAGTCAAGATAGTGATGGGCATGGACTTAGAATTGGTGGAGCCAGGTCTTACACCAGACCAAGAACTGAATGGAGAAGTGATCAGTAGAATATTTTCTCAAAAAACTGTGTGGCTTCTTCCCAGTGAAGTCTTCAGTAGCAAGACACCAGACATCAGGGTAAAATATACTTTGAACTATTTACCTTGAAATATAATTTAGAGGTACCCCCTTTGAATGAGTTCAATGTAATATAATGAGTTTAAAGACACTGGAAATACAGGTAGCTGTATATGTGATGTATTGTAGCTCCATAATATTCCACCACAATGTTTCATTAATGGCATCATGTAAATTGCCATCAGTATGCATCTACACTGTACCCCTTTGGTAACAGTTGGAAATGATTAAATGACCCTAACACAGGCATCTTAAAAATAACCTGAAATTAATCTGAGAGAGTAGTTAAATTATTATCAAACTTGTTAATTGCTTATTTAATTCTAGGATGCATTTGAGGTAGGGCACAACACCGAAGATTGCAATTACTCTGGAATAACTGACGAAGTATATATACACTCAGCTAATGGACATTCCAATGACGAGCTCCAGATTCTGAAAGGGATGTTCCCTGCAGTAACAGAGACCACACTGAGTGTAGCCCTCGCTTCTGCTGGGAATGATATCAACATGGCTGTGGACCTCATAGTTAGCGAAGATCCTGTAAATCCAGATTCAGCAGTTGATGAGACTTCTAGCCCTAGAAAGTATTTCCTGAACATACAATAGCTATGGCTTTGGTGCATCCTGCAGATATGACCAGCATAATCTGTAGGAACGTACGAGCTAGCTTGCAGGTAAGCCACAAAAAATGAACAAAAAAAAATAATTGAAAAAGAAAAAAAAAACTTAAATAGGGAAAGGAAAAAAAGAGTCTAAATGGTACAAACTTAAATTCTTTACAGGTTAAGATGCTACTAGGGGTTTTTTTGTGTGGGCTTTGTGCTCTGTACTGTATATTATTTTTCATTTAGAATTATATTTGCAAAATTATTTGAAGTTGAGAAATGTGTGATTTGTAGCAAACAAAGTTTGCTTTTGCCCTTGATACTATCAGAATAAACAGATTACTTCATGGCCTGTTCTGTGTTTGCTCACTGCATCCACTTGTTAGTTTTTTACTCATCACGACTTATGAATAAAAATCTTATCAGCTCCCATCGATGAAATAATCTCTATCAACTGTGGGTTTCCAGTCATTCTATCTCATACTTATTACCAGTTGCATCAAATATTTCTAACTGCCATTATTGTAAAGATGATGTTGTTGTGCAAGTTGTTATAGTTTGTGGTATTAATTTTCTCAACAGAATCTATCTGCTCAAGCTCTCAATTGAATGTACATAAATTATGTACATAATTAATAGATACAATTAAAAATTAGAGATTTTCCGAAACTTTATGGTAGCAAGAAGTATTAACAATAATTAAATGGGGCGTACATCCAAGAATATTAGAGAACATACTGGTATTCCTCAGTACTTGATATTCACTTAGAATTAAATATCCATCATTTTGTTTCCAGATGAAAATAAAGGGCAAGAATGGAGTGAGGACACAAGAGGCCCAGCTGAAATCTTGGAAGAATTTCGTTCTATCACTAAGAAAGCTGGTACTGGATATATCACTTTTAATAGGATGCATCGCTCAATGCTCCAGCAGTTGATGAAAACTTACAAGGACCCCAAAGTAGATATTCAGAAATCGCCTGACATACATTTTGAGGGAGAAATGGCTGCTGATCCTGGAGGCCCAACCAAGGAGTATTTCTATTCTGCAATGAAGTCATTATTCAATGTTGATCCTATCTTTGGTGTTTCCCTGTTCACTGGAGAGAGAGGACACTATGTCCCAGTTATGAACATGGATGCCATCTCAAGTGGGTGCTTTAAGATGGTTGGAAAACCTCTAGCTCACAGTGTCTTGCATGGTGGCCCAGGCCTTCCAGGTCTCGCACCTGCTGTGAGGAAGTATTTAGTGAGTGGCTCAGTCATAGATGCTGCAGACTTGGTGTCAGTCGAAGACATCCCTGACATTGATCTTCCTGACCTCATTGAAAATAAGGTATGTGACTTATGTTATTATTATCATGGTTATTTAAAATTTATTTTATTTATTTATTTATTTTGTCCAGTCTGATTCTTCCTGATTGAAATTGAAGTACAGTAGCAATAAAAAAAGGTCTGTTAAGCTAATACTCTTTATCTTTACAGTTAACTGGAGACAAGTCAGTTACATTATTGACTGAAGAAGAGAAAGACAAAATAGAGGAAGCTATGGTGAGGCATGGTTGTACAGACATTCCGCTAAGTGATAAAAAGATGGTGAAATCTGTCCAGGACGTCATGGTGGGTGAAGTCCTAGTATCAAGGGTAACAGCATTGGATGCCATTTTCTGGGGAATGAACACCATACAATTGGGTCAACTTCTGCGTGCCAAGCCAACAGTTTCCCAACATGTTTTCCCATCTCCAGATCAAGTATTAGTTGATGTAGAAACATTAAAGAATAAGATGACCATTGGAGTACTGGAGAAGGTTGATGATGAGAAGAAGAAGAATGCATATGATTGGTTCCTTAGATTTACAAGTGAATACAAAGAGCCCAGAGGTTGGTGTTTTTGCAGGCAGTGTATCTGTTTTGAAGCAATTTTGATTTTTTAGTTTTAATTAAGACTGAAAGACCTGTTTCTGTTCTGATTGATAAGGTATTTTCATTAAATAGTAATATTACCTCAACCTACATGTAACCCCCAGCCATTTTAGCATTGACTCCAGCACATTATTAAATTTTCAAACTAGCTATCATCTTGGAGAGAAACCTTGTTTTGTCTTGGAATAATTCAACACGCCCATCACCCCTACCTCCAAAAAAATAATAAATTATTAAATAAATAAATCAGTAAAATTGTGTCCCAAAACTCTGCTCTTCAACAGTGTCTTGATCTGAAATATGACGTTTCAAAAAGGTACAGAAAGGTTATTGAAACAAACCATACCCTTTCTTGAAGGTTTTGACCCTGTTGTTTATTTGTTTAGATTTCTGTGGGATAAAATTTTCTATCATTGTCATCTGAATTTAAATGTTTCAGATCTGCTTGTATTTATCACTGGAACTGACATCCTGGATGAGGAAATCTACATTAGCTTTGACTCTGAAGAAAAGAAATTTCTAGAAGCTGACTGCTGCTCTAACCGTGTAACCCTTCCTAAATCACATGAAACATATGAGGAGTTTGCAAATGCATGCTCTATTTCAGTAGCCTTTGGTTCCAAAGGTTATGGAAGGTTTTAGTTTGGCATAAAGTTGAAAGTGCTAGTTACTTTTATGTTATAATTAAATCTTAGACATTGATGTTGCAAGAATGACTACTTTGTTCAGTTATGATAAATTGACCAATGGTTTTAAAGTTAGAGGTCAAACAAATTGACAGGATGATTTTATACTTTCTTGATGCCAAAAGAGTCAGTTGCAAGTTTACACCAAATCTTCCAGTCTTTGTTTCAACCTTTTGATGAATGTAAAAGAGTTTTAACAAGTTTATTGATGAGCATTACTGCCATGATACTTATACGAACTTAAGAATCATTTGTGAAAGCATGTGTAGATATATGGCTCATAAAGTTAAACCAGGCACCTACAGTAGGTATCTAAGGTTTCCATGGTAAAACTAGTCAGTGTAAACAGGTTCTTATTTATTACAGTTCTGCATGTTATGTTAAAACAGTGGAAGTTGTTTAATGTAATAAAATAAGTGAATCAAGGTTCTATTATTAAGTTTTTTTTGCCTACAAAATGGCAAATACATCAAATCTGACTGAGGGGGGAAAGGATTATTGCACTTGGCGTATAACTAAATCAAGACTAATGGATCAAATCACTTTTTAGTCCAATGCTACTCTTTCTTAGATAAATTGACTTGAAAAGCAGTTGAATTTTATAAGTAGTTAGATAGTCATCCCATCTCTAGGAAAACAAATCAAAGAATGGGTCCCCCTTAGTTTGAGAGGTAACATTAATGGTCTGCACAATTCTGAAATTGTCTCTTTGGAAGAAAAAGAAGAAAATCCCAGTCCTGAAATATGGGCAAAACTTCGAGTGCAGCTACATAGAGGGTAACACCATGATTGCCATCATCTGATAATGGCTCAACACTTTCTTGCAACTGTTGCTACTGTTCATCAGATAAACCAAACCATACTTCTGGCACTTCAACATCATTGTCAGTGTCACAATCAGGTATGGGTCAACCCCCCGTGCCAAACTCGTTCATTTCTTGACCATTAGCAAAAACACTTTGTACAGCTAAATACTCAGAGTTTGCAGCAGCAGTCATTCCAGAATGCCACAGCTGCCCTGGTGATCTGTTCCTTTCAGTATTCATTGGGTGATTGTTCCAGCTACCTGCCATTTCACCTAATGTCCTGTTAATGCGTGGCAAAAATATGTAGTGAAGGACAAACAAATGAAGCTCATTAACAGGATCAAGAAGTTGACATTGCTCAAGAAAGTAAAAAAGATTGCGATAGTAGCTAACCACATTGTTTTTTACTTCCACCCAAAGACGCTCAATTCTCTGATTGTGTACGCTGCGGCCGGCTAGCATGCTTCCTCTGTTTGGCCCTCTTTCTGGATGATTTAACACGTATTCTGCCACACCAACATTCTCAGTACCAAAGTCTGACCACACCCTTGATGGCAAGCCAAAGTGGTTGACTGCTTCTAAAAAAAGTGCAGTAACAGTTTCTGACTTGTTATTTGCTGAACATCTCAGGAAAACAATGCAGCGGCTAAAACCATCAATACCGCCATGAATTACGAACCGCCATCTAATGAGTTTGTGGTGACCATCAATATGCCTGCAGTGCAACAAAAACAGCACAACTTAGGGGCTGATTACTTGATCAGAAGAAACGCGACTGTTAAAAACACAATCACTAGACATGCCCCACCTTCGATGGGCTAGCTCCACC